ACATACATATACATACACATGCATATACACGTAAACTATTGACATACACATATGTAAGTAATATATACGTATACACTTACAGGGGCACGTACGTATACGTTCACATGTATTTACACATGTACATACACATGTATATACATTTGTATATATACATATGCATACACCCATACATAGACACTTACACTTACACATACTTAAATTCATACTCATACTCATACCCATACTCATGCTCATACTCTGTTCATACACGTACATGCACACATACACATACACGTACATATGCACGTTTACGTATACATACACATATACATATCCATACACATACACATAGACATACACATTTATACATACACACACACACACGGTGATAGAGAGAAAAAAAGCAAAGGGGGATAGGGAAAAAACAGAAACTGAAATAAAAACGAAAAACAAAATAAAGATAACAAACAAGAAGAGAAAGAGAAATAATAGGAAAGAACAAGAATAAGAACAAGACAATGACAGTGACAAAGAGAGAGAGAGAGAGAGAGAGAGAGAGAGAGAGAGAGAGAGAGAGAGAGAGAGAGAGAGAGAGAGAGAGAGAGAGAGAGAGAGAGAGAGAAAGAGAGAGGGGGGGGGAGAGGGAGAGGGAGAGAAGAAGGAGGCAAAGAAAGAAAGCGACAAAGAGAGAATGAGAGAGACAAAGAGAGAATGAGAGAGACAAAGAAAGAGAGAGGGAAAGAATGCGAGAGAAAGTGAATGAGTGAGAAAGAAGGAGAGTGAAAGAGAGACAAAGAGGTTGATTGAGAAAGGAAGGAAAGGAAAGGGAGAGGAAGATGAAAAGGAAAAGGGAGAAGGAGAAGAAGAAGGAGAAAGAGGAGAAGAAGGAGAAGGAGAAGAAGGAGATAGAGAAGAAGGAGAAGGAGAAGGAGGAGATGGAGTAAGCGAGGTGGAGGAAGAAGGTGAGGGAGAGGAAGATAAAGAGAGAGAGAAAGAGGAGGAGGAAGAAGAGGAGGAGGAAGAGGAGGAGGAGGGAGAGGAGAAGGGCGAAAAGGAGAATGAGCATAAGAAGGAGAAGAAGGGGAAGGAGAGGGAGAGGGAGAGAAGGAAAGGGGGATAGAGGGAAACAGAAATAAAGAGAAGGAGACAGAGATACAGTACTGCACACGGAAACACGCATTGAATGACACGCATACAGTGTGATATTAACCCTGTCGATAATTGGACTGCCATCGACGTTGCAAGTAGCTACTCAAGATGATAGCCTGGATGTTTTGCATTGATCCACAGGAAGAAAATGGATGTGGCAATGAGATAGTGTTCGAGGGAAAATCTGTTTTATCCATATCTACCGAGCCAGTTCATTTTGTAAGGAGTCGGAGTATTTCGCATTGCATGGTTCACTTGTATGGTTCAAGGGCTGGTTGCACTGCAAGTCGCCATCGTGGTTCGTTGCGAGGCGGGCAAGGGAGCGTTGGTTCGAGTTCGTTGGCAACATCTTGTCGACAACTTCAGCTTTAATGCCATTCGTTCATCGACCATTTAGCGAAGACACGGCGTTACGTACAAGGGCCTTACTACAGTGTTTTTTTAAAATCTTGTCGCGATATTTTCTCTACTGGAAACCCACGAGTTCGTCTCAGTGGCCGAGGGAATCAGTCACGTCCATTTCTGTTGACGGTCACAGTGATGAACACAATACTCCTGCGATCGCGTGTTACAGGATATATTGACTGTGTCGTGTCATAGGTCACGGAACAACAACTGTGATCAGATATTGGCATTAGGTGGCACTGTGGGCTGGCACTGTGGATGGCGTGTGAGTAATAGCTCGGGTCTGTGCCATGCCATCAGCACATACCAGTTCCCTGACAGAGCATGGTGGGTCTGGAGACGTCGGTTGGTTACAATTTCGCTGTGTATGGTTCGATTCGCCGTAATTAAGCGTTGGTATGGCGTGGCTGTTACGCCAACGGCCATGAGATTCCTCCTAAACTGCTTGTCTGGTCTGCCGTAGTGGGATGGAAGGCTAGACAACAGCTGCGTAGGTGAGGGCCGCGCGTAGGAGGGAGTGTTGGGTAGCAGAGGTCATTTCGGGAGAGAGAAGTATTGTATAATCAGAGGCGATGAGTGTTCAGCAGTGGGCGCAGCTAGGATTGAATTTTAATCGATGTGGTGCTAGTCATTGCTGGTGCTGCTTCCTCCAATCACGCATTCCCTCGGACGGACTTACGAGGTGTTGATGCTGTTTGTGGAAAGCATTTTTTTTTTGCCTTGGTGGAGGGAAGGGTCATGTGGTACGAGGTACTTGGACTACCGTCATTTGCTTAAGAGTACATTATGTGATTTGAGAACCAGAGAGCAAATTAACAAGGGAAAGGACCATACTTGTGCTAAAAGACTCGCGGTGCGTGCTAGTCTGTATTCCCCTCCATCTCCTTTACCACCTTCCATTTCTTTCCCCTTCCTACTCGCTCGCGCATCGCCCCCACCCTCCCCTCTTCTCGCCCCTCTCCTCTCCCCTCTCCTTAGGGAGGGGAAGAGGACTCGATCGGGGGGAGGGGGCAAGGGCGAAGGGGTGTGCGGGGGCGGGCGGGGCGGAGGACATGACGCCAGACTAAAGTTGTTCGGCCAGGGGGTGGAGACACGG